AGGAGAAGGGTCCTTTGGCAGCGAGTTCACCGAGGAGGATTGTTTGTTAATCGCCGGAGTAATTTTGTGGACCAGTTTGTTGACTTCATAAAGGCCTATGTTAACGCAACAGGGTGCTAACGGTGGTAACACCTGTAGTTTGTTTAAATGGAAGCGAGTGAGTTATTTTCACCATTACCTGTAGCGGTCGCCGTAAATGGACAATAATATTAACCGCAACTCATAAGCCTTGTGAAGCAGCAAACATTATCAACGGAGGTTCAATGATATCTGGTTCTTCCGAGAAAACAATTGTGCCCTCCATGTGAACGACAATTTATTGTGTTCGATTGTAGACCGTCATGTGTCGCGGTGACCCCAAACGAATGCTTCACTCATCGCAGATAGGTGAACTTGAAGTTCACCCAGGAGTTCAAAATCCTCCGCAACTTCTGAAGAGACGATCAGATGGCTAAGAGTTCACAGAACTTGTTCCCATCAACAGTTTGCCATGGGTAACTTGTTGACGTTGTGTTTGAATCTGCACTTTTATTCTTACGGAGTTGCCTGTGATTTTCTTCTTCGCGAACAAATAGCTCGGAGAATGTCAATTAAGTGAACATGGCGTTGTCCAAGTCAACATCCTGGGATTGAAAAAGCGAAAAGCAATCTTCGTGAACGACCCAATGATAACAGAGCAATTTGTTACGAAGGATATTGCTGGCGATTATATGGGCAATGAGACAACGAGTATCTATGGGGTCTACAGCTACGCAGACGCAATGAAGATATGGAGGCCTTGCGTTATCGGCACCTTAAACTTCTGAGAGTTGTAAGCTCTGGTAAATTTAATCCGAACAGCGGTTTCCTTGATGCTATGAGATACGCTACCTTCTGGGGAGGTGGTTTCTCGTGGCTAAGTCACCTCATTTTTGATTATTTACAAACCATCATTCCCAAGAATGGATACTGTAGCCGGCGACGTTAGGGGTTGACTAATAACTATAAACGATTTTTGGCGGACTGTGAAAATATGAAAAGCACACTGTAAGAACTGGTTGAACAGCTTCTCGAATAACTGTTCGAATTGTCGGTTTATTCGTTTTCCAGG